AATAGCTAGCAATCCAAAACAGTCCAGTGGAGCCTGAGCGGTGGGTGTTGCCTTCTGACACACTTCCGGTGATGTCAGCGGGTGTGGCATATGCAAATAAGTTATGCTAATAAGTTATGCTAATGAGCTCCTGCACCTCTTTTTCTACGAAATGACCCCTGCCTGTCGCCAAACAATGACCCGCCAGAAAGTCCCTCAGCCACATTTCTTCTCAGTTTTGCATTTCTTACCTCTCCAACCGTCTTCACATCTTCCCGGCCATACCACTCAGGCTCATAGACTTCATGCAGAGACTCTGAAAGCTTCTTGGAAGCATCTTGCATGCCTAGATAATGGGAAGAAAAAGAGTCTATTGCTAGATGGACGGCTATGCCACAGATGGACTACCATTTGAGACAGCATACAGATCAACTGCCACTGCTTAAAATAAAGATAATGCCTACGTATTTGGTATACATGAAACAAGGTGGAGGACCAGCCCAGGATTAAAACTATTGTGTCTGAAAGGCATACAAGACCATTTTTACCCCAAAAAGTTGCTAATAGTCTAGCAAAAATAAATAGATGCAAACGCTTTTTTGGGGGGGAAACTGAGCTTTTTTCTGGTACATTTTCTTAAACAGAATTTTTTCTGTTCTAATGCATCTGTTCTGTCTTGGAAGTATTGACAATGTAATACTCAAAATCAAGCTCTATTGCATTCATCCTAAATGCTTGTTCCTTTTAGGGGACACTGTCCTGGTCCCACACTTACTTGGGTCCCAGGCAGAGGGACCCATTCGTGATAACTCAGCAAATGTATCTGGGAAGACACACAGGCCAAAATAACATTCAGTTCTACTACTGTGTAGTGTAGTCCACAGAAAGTTTGAGGACACATTATGAATGTAAGGTCATCTGCAAACAGAAGGTGCTTCTATCCACGGAACAAAATCTTCTTGCCTAAGCCTGCCCTCCTGTGGCAGCCCACTGAGCTCCCCTAAATGCTGCTCCTGCAGATTTCAGGGGACCCTCACACACACCTTAAGATGGGTAGCTGTGTTAGTCGGTCTGTAGCCGCAGACAAGAGCGAGAGTCCAGTAGCACCTTAAAGAGGGACAAAATTTGTGGCAGGGTAGGACCTTTCATGAGTCACTGCTCACTTCTTCAGATCTTGTCTGCTACTTCAGATCTTTTCTACTATATTCTCACACACAGCGTGAGGGGCGGATTGGGGGTCTGAGAAGTGACTGTGGAAAATCAGCAAAATCCAACCCAGCGATGGGTAGCTGTGTTAGTCGGTCTGTAGCCGCAGACAAGAGCGAGAGTCCAGTAGCACCTTAAAGAGGGACAAAATTTGTGGCAGGGGAGGACCCTTTATGAGTCACTGCTCAACTCTTCACCTCCTGATGGCACCTTGTCTTTTTGGCCACTGTGTGACAGAGTGTTGGACTAGATGGGCCATTGGCCTGATCCAACATTGGCTTCTCTTACGTTCTTATGAACCTCCTAGTCTGCCATGGAAGCTTCCTGGGTGACCTTTAGCCAATCACTACTGTCCCAGCCTAACCTACGTTTCAGGGTTATTGTGAAGATAAAAGAGAGGAGAGCTCCTTGGAGGAAGAAGACTGCGAGAAAAATGTACTATACACATCACTAAAATATTGGCTACCTACATTCCATGGATTTTCCATGACTGCAATAGCAGCTGCAGGTGCCACTGGAAGATGAGAACTAGTAAGTACCCAGGCTTTCCTACATAGTCAGTGTGTGGTTCCATTCCCCGCCCCCACAATCTTCCCCTTCTTTCCTTTTAATCTCCAGTCATTTTCTCCCTCTGTACTGGGATTTCCTTCCTTTCTTTTCATTCTTCTTCTGTTATTTTTGCAAAGCGAAGCGGGAGGTACTGTGTTTGGCTCTGTTTCCTGTGGTAGCCATTATGGGTTCCATGGGAGTCTGCAGGCTCAAAAAGGTTGGGAGGCCCTACTGCAGTGTGATTGTCTTCCAGGCTGTTTAAAAACTAGTGCCCTACAACCAGGGCCGGCTCTCCCGCTAGGCCAACTAGGCACTCGCCTAAAGCGGGAGGCCCTGGATGGGGCGGCGGTGGCCCCATCCAGGGCCTCCCGCTGGGTTCCCAGTGGGGCGGTCTCCAGGCCCCACTGGGAGGTTGGCACCTGCAGCCTGCAGCCTCGCCTAGGGGGCAGCCTCGCCTTGGGCCGGCCCTGCCTACAACCACAGAGGAACAGAGGATATCTTGCACAACTGCTGGGCTACAGAGAATATTCTTCCCTTTCAGAAAGAATGTAGCCCAAATGAGGTTGATTTTCATAATGCTCTGGAGGACCATTCTTTCACACTGCTGCAAATTAATCCATCCAGACAGTAGGAAAGGAGACATTAAAGCATGACGGAGGATAAATATATTGTCTTGAGATGGTTCAATGGCTAAAAAATGCACACATTACAAAGGCATTTCTATTCATACCTGACCTATTCTTAGCAAACACTCCGCAGCTCTTTCCAGAGCACACTGAATATGCAACACAAAATGTGTCTCTTTCAAACTTGCACCAGAATGAAAATTCAGCTTGGTCATAGATCAGATACTGTGCAAATAAAAAGAATGAGTAAAAGGCACACACACAGCAATATTTGTGGTTTTAAAAAAAATATATCCAAGATTCCAGTTATGCCTCTATTTTTCAAACATTAAAAAAACTTGAATAGAAAGGATTTTTCATCTATTACACTTGGCTTGAGACGAGGACTGCCACTTACCCAGTTTTGGCAGGGGACTGGCAGTGCTCCCGGTCCCCGGCCCTCACTCAGTAGTGTAGTGGGGCAGGGAGGAATGGGGGGGGGGGAGGCATAGGTCGATGCCTGGACATCACTTCCTGTTTCAGAACAAGAAATGACATCGCAGGGCTCTAACAATTTCCAATTCCCTATGGTAAAAAAAAATAGATTTTTGAAATTCCCAGAATGTCAGGTCACTTTCTGTTCCAAAACATGAAGCGACATCCCAGATGTGTCCATCCCCCAGTGCTCCAGGGGGTTGCGAGGCTACAGCTGGCTACCTTACTTGACACAGAAATATGCCACCTCCCTCCCCTCCCTAGGGTGTTTCTCATTGACTTTTCCATCACAGAAATTAAATGGAACTAATGTCAATACATTTATTTTGCCGCCAATACCCTTCCCCCATGTAATGGCCATGCAAGTGATTGGTGTCCCTAAGGGGTTTATAGCCCAGCCATAATCACATCTACATGTACTCACCAGTGTACAATCACACAGCAGCCCTTCTTCAAGCTGCCATGACGGTGCAAATCACAACAGCCAGACGTGCAGCTTCCATGAGATTCCGATTGGCAGCTCAACAGCCTCTGGACAGCCATTAAATTGGGGGGGGCAGCTATATTCCTGATGTCTCGCCCTAATCCTGGCAAATTCATCACCGGTCCCAACAGTCCCGGAGATAATTAAGTGGGGACTGTTGGCTGTTATGTCAGGGCTGTAGTTTTGATTCCCATGTATGCTGTAGACATATATGGCATATTTTCAAGAATATGTTTATTATTTAAATGTGAGTCATTTTAGTACCAGTTAATATGCTATCATGTGTTTAAGAATAATACATTAATAAAGAGTTCAGTGTTTTAAACATCATAAAGTTTACCTTGATATCCAAATATTACAGCAATCTGACATACTGAGACTCTGTGAGAGTTTCTGTCCAAAGAATACATTTCTTTAGTACACAGTTTGTTTTCTGCCTTCTGCTTTTGTTTCTGGCCTTATTTTTTCCAGCTCTCAAGATGGCAAAAAACTAAGATTCGTGTGCTTCACAAATTTGTGTGTCAAAAATCTCCCAAATAGTACAAATGATGCATTGTACGTTGTTAAGTCAGTAGAATAAGATTGGGTTTGATAAGAGAGTAAGTATTGCATCTACTTAAATCCCCCCCCCCAATTTCCGTTAAAAACACTTTTTTACCTGTGGCTTCAAAATTTCTCGAAATTTTACATCTTTACCTATGGCCTCATAAAACCATTACATTTCACTACAGAATTTGCTTTCCAGGATCTGCCCCACAGTGTTGAGAATCAATGACCAAATAATGGTTGACTTGGAAGGAATCGAGTGATGCACCTGAGGGTTATCCATGGACTATAGGAATAGTACACCTACAGAAATGGGAGTTGTCTAATGCTAAGACTATGGCTGAGGACAGACTGGTAGTATGAAGCATGAGGGAGTCAGGGCAAAAAGACCCAGACCAAGTTGTGCCGGGGATTCCGGTTGCACTGTATCTACTGATGCGGGAGCATACCGGGGAGGAGGCGCAAGGGAGCGTTCGCACTGTTGGCCCGCCCCTGGCGGAGGCACGGCTACATGCGCCTATGCGCCTATTTCTCGAGCTTTTAGCATGCACACTTCCGGGAAGAGGGAAGTTTGCTACCGCTTTCACCTGGTACTTTTTTAACTCGGTAGGGAATCGTCATAGGACGGGTTGAGTATGGCTGGGGAACGCCTGACAGCTGTGCCTGTGTGAACCAGCCCCTTTAATCCGTTTGTGAAACGTGCCTATATCGGGCCAAACTGCCAGTCTGAACTCAGCCTATGTCTAAGACTATGTCTAAGACAGTCTTGTAACACTATTTCTGCAAATTTGGTTTTTCATGCATTTCATACATGCATATAAGAGCATTTAGGTGCAACCTGTTTTACATATGCTCTTGATTTTACAATGTACAAAGAACACTTCTTTGTATTTTGTATACAACAGATTTGGGGGCGGGTATCAAACCCATAGCCAATTAATTACGCTTCGTATTATGCTCATTGCTCTTGTTTATCTTAATTGCTGCCAAAGTGATAGAAAGGAAACAAATCCGAGGAAGGGGGGATGCTAGCATTAATGAAGGAGCAATTTAGTATTAATTGCTGAATACGTTTCATTTGTTGCTAGTTAACTGGATTGTTCTATTTAATAAGCAGAAATAAAGAAATACTGACGTCACATCTCAAGACAGCAAGGGGTGGAGGAGCTGCCCCAATTTAATTCATATCATTGATGCACCTAACCTTCCTGTACCACCTAGTTTGACTGGTGGTGACACTTCAAAGTCACAGAGACAGGAAAGTCTTTTCCAGCCTAGCAAATGTGGTATCCTTTAACTGGAAAAGTCATGAACAGAACCCAAGATCTTCAGCAACCATGGCCTGTGCTCTGCCACTAGGAAGTAATTTTTAGTATGAGGTACAGAAATTGCTCCTACTGTAGAAGATGAGAGCACAAAACATGATTCAATGCCTGCATTCCAAAGAAGTGGTACAGCAAACAGGCAAAATCCACACCGAATAAATATGTAAATATCTTTCTCGCTTCAAAATTGGCTCTGCACCTCTCTTAGATTGTTTACGGTGCCATCCTAAGAAGAGTTCCAAAAGGCGTTAAGTCTTCTTTGGACGGCAGAAGAAGAAGAATGGAAGATTTGTCTCCACTTAACGTGAAGCTTCCTTCTTGGTGGTCTAGAGTGGAGCAGTCCTTTGGACTCCAAACTCCTGGGAACTCCTCCCTCCTCCGAAGGCAGGGCCAGCAGACTCTTCAGGCACGGAGGGGGAGCGGCTTGTCTCCTGTAACCCAGTCGTTCTCCAAGCCTCCAGTCCCCACACTGTAAAGAATAACTGACAACATTCTACTCCCAACAGCGAGTCCAACAGTCAAACAGTAAACAGAAGTGAAACCAGTCGGAATCCAGGGACAGGTACGACCCCCCTTTTCCCTATAACCATACCTCCATCTGACAACAACCCACCCCATACATTGAGGAAGCGGACCCAAAACTGGGTGGGAAGGACTGCTCCACTCTGGACTACCGAGAAGGAAGCTTCACGATAAGTGGAGACAAATCTTCCATTCACCGGTGGTCCAGGAGTGGAGCAGTCCTTTGGACTCCAAACTCCTGGGACGTATAAAAGCAGTGCCCTCCAGGTTGGGTCCGTCCTGCTTCCCCAACTACAGGGTGTGTTGCAGAACTCTGCGGCCAAAGGCGGCATCTGCCGACGCTGCCTTGTCAATCCGATAGTGTCTCGTAAAAGAGTGCACCGACCTTCAAGTGGCCGCTTTGCACACTACATCTAGTGAAGGGAAGGCCCTATAAGCTGCTGATGTAGCCATTCCTCTGAGGGGATGTGCCGTCACCCCTTGAGGAGGCTCCAGGCCCCTCGCCTTATAAGCCAGGCATATGCATCCTCGTATCCACCTGCTCAAAGAGGAAGTAGAGACCTTCTTTCCTACAGAGGACCTCCTAAAAGAAACAAAAAGAGAGTCCGTCGACCTCACTTGTTTTGTCCTGTCCAAATAAAAACTAAGTGCCCGTCTCACGTCCAGGCAATGCCACTTCCTCTCCTTCTCAGACTTTGGACTGGGACAGAAGGAAGGAAGAACTATATCTGTAGACCTGTGAAAGGTGGAATTAACCTTGGGCACAAAGGCTGGGTTGGTGCGTAGCACCACTCTGTCCTCATGAAAAATACATAGTTCTTTATGTATGGAGAGGGCCCCCAACTCTGAAACCCTCCTAGCTGATGTGATGCCCACAAGAAAAACCATTTTGGAAGTAAGCTCCTTCAAAGGGCAAGTAGCCATTGGCTCAAAGGGTGTCTTACTCGACGCCTTGAGAACCGGGTTTAAGCTCCAGGTAGGAAACCTATGTGCCACTGGGGGATTTAGTAGTGACGTTCCCTTAAGAAACCGTCTAACATGAGGATGTCTAGAAAAAGAGAAGCCCTTCTTGACTCCCCTGATGGCAGAAATAGCTGCCACCTGTCTTTTTAATGTGTTAGTACTAAGGCCTTTGTCTAAGCCCTCCTGTAGGAAGGACAGAACGTCAGACACTGATGCCTTAAAAGAATCCAGACCTTTCCCCATGCACCATGTTTGGAACACCTGCCAGGTATTATTATAAACCCTATTGGTGGACCCTTTCCTAGCCGCTAACAATGTCTGAACAACTCCCTCAGGGTAACCCATGCCTAAGAGTTGTTCCCGCTCAACCTCCAAGCTGTGAGGCCTAGCATTTCCGGCTGTGGATGTACTGTTTCCCCTGAGTCAGGAGGTCTGGTACCACTGGCAGTATCCACGGTTCCCTCACCGACAGTCTCATTAGTTCCTGGAACCAGGCCCTTCTTGGCCAGAATGGAGCCACCAGAATAATTTCTGCCCTGAGGTCCATGACCCTTTGGACCAGTCTTTGAATGACCTGCAGAGGCGGAAAGGCATACAGTTGAACTTTTGGCCAATTCCGGTGCAGGGCATCTATTCCTAGAGCTAGAGGGTGAGAAAACCTTGACACGAAGAGTTCTGTTTGCCGATTCTGCACTGTGGCGAACAGACCCACTTTCGGAAATCCAAATTTGTGCCCTATCTGAGTGAACACAAATAAAAAGCAAATCTGCATATTTCTCAATAAAAACGTGTGTGTAATATTTGTTCCTGTCTTGCGACTCTCAAGCATCTGACGTTTATTCTGTGTGGCTGTTATGTTAAGCAAGTTTGGCCACCCCTATCATACAACCAAAGCTGTGGGAGTATTTCATGAGTTGGGCATTGAAGTTCACAAAAATTTCTATCCCGGGTATAATATCTTTTTAAATAGAGCCTGATGCAGTCCTTGCACATGTGGCAATGTGCATGGTTATCCGATAAGCAAAGTCCTGTGTAGCCAGGAAGTGCATCAGGGCAGGGAAATCTTATACTGCTCAGGCTCGGAACTAAGTGGTAAGGGACTGGATCACATCCTATCTTTTCCCCATTTCCGAAGTCTGGAAATCTTCCAAACCATCCCTGCCCCCCACCACACTGGTGTAGAAATTTGTGGGAAACGCCTTCCTTTGGCTTACTCATCAATCTTTTGCTAAGTAAGGCTTTTAAAAAGTGGCTTCCGTGTTACCATTTTCACCATGATATGGGAATAGTCAACAATTCACGATGACTCAAGAAGTCAGCGTGTGAATCGTCACTAAAGCAAAGCCCATGCAAACTTGTGCAAAAGTTAAAAGCAAAAAAAACCAAACAAACCCCCAAAGTTTTAGAACATAAATTAATAAAAATGGAGAAGAGAATTAGTGCCATCACTGCAAAATCCACAGTATCAAACACCCAACCCACACAATGAAAAGCCCATCTGTCAAAGAGGGGGGAGAGAGAATCACACCACCGTTACCAAAAACATACGGCTCACAAGCTACAGGTCTGGGTGACTTTAAATGTACAGCTCGCCCAAAGCAAGTGTGAAAAGTACAGGAAGTTGCCTAATCCTGTTGAGTGAGAACAATATCGTTCTGATCCATACGGTAAGAGATTGTATATAATTATTACGATTTATATGCATGTACTGCAACCAACAAAATGAAAGAAAACAATTAGTAGCAGCATACTGCACAACACTGTGGTTGTTTTGTTTTGTTTTTTAATTTTGATATTTGCTCCAGTTTGGAATTGTAGCACACCACCAACTTTCACCTTTTAATTTGGTACATAATCATTCAAACCTATACTCCAATCCGTACACCATTGCACACACAGTGATCCTGCCCATTCATTTACAATCAAAGAGCTGGTCCCTGCACAAAGAATTCATGTCCCTAACTAACCCTTATAAGTGGGGAGTTCTACAGTAGCGGAGTGCCCCATTCCTTAAAGAAACAGCTGCATCAGGAAGAAGGCCAGCAGTCCTTCTCACACAAACACACAAAGCAAGAACCTTCCTGAACTTCCCTGGATTCATAACTCGCACCTTGCTCAAGATGAATCTGTGTGCCGTATATGTGACGTATTGTCAAAATTAAATTTTGGGAAGATGCAAAGGATGCCCTTCAGCTTATTCTATACCTGGGGGAAATGTTGCAACGGTATTTTTCACTTGCCATCACCTATTTTCACCAGCATATTTGCAGCAATGATTAAGGACGGCAACGCTGCGCAGAATGCAGATGAGGTTTGCTGGCATCGCCTTTCTGTGGGTGAGGTAGTTATTGTATTTCACTCTGAATGTAAGACCATCCCCATAAAAATATGGTTATGCATTAAAGTTTTGTTTTTCATTTCTGCACGTAACTGTAACTTGCATGTGGATTTCAGATGGCCACCTCTTTTATGGTGAGTACACATGGGGGGGGGGGGACGACTAGTCTTTCTTCCTGGTAAAAAAGATACTCTTCTTGATGCTATTGGGTGCAAAGCAATGACAGGAAGAGGTGGGGCAAAATGGACCCACCTCCTTAAAGAAGTTGAGAGGGGTGGATGGGGTCCGAGCCTCTACTCTTCCTTATAGCCCTCCCCATGGTGCTGATCCTGTTAGTCCATGTGGACTTGCAGCAACCAGAATGGGGACTGGTCTCTCTTCAGATGAGTGAGTGGTTTGTGAACAGTCTTCTACCATATTACTAGGCTCCCAAAAGAAAGTCACTATCCGGAAGCAGCTTGAGTGCATGTTGTGCCATTCACAAAACAACTGATTCGTGGAAATGTTTAAAAATGACAAAGCCAAAGGGGGGGGGGAATGGTCATTTTGAGTGCCATTACCTTTGATGGCAGCTAAATATCCCCGGAGTTCTCTCTGGAGCCTGGAACCTTCCGCCTGAAACACAACACAGAAGCAAAATCATATCAAGCTTATAAACCCAGTAGAACAAGCATAGTGTCATCAGAAACCAGAATTCCATTTCTGTCATCTTATGTAGAACAAAGTCTAAGACCAGTGGCACCTTTAAGACCAACAAAGTTTAATTCTGGGTATAAGCTTTTGTGTGTATGCACACTTCTTCAGAAGAAGTTCTGAAGAAGAAGTTCTGAAGAAGTTCAAGAAGAAGTTCTGAAGGAGTATGCATGCACACGAAAGCTTATACCCAAAATTAAACTTTGTGGGTCTTACAGGTGCCACTGGACTCAAACTTTGTTCTAATTGCTTCAGACCAACATGGCTACCCACCTGAATATGTCATCATATGTAATTATGTCATCTTATATAATTATGTACATGTGCAGTGTTTATCTTTAGTTCTTTTTCTAAGAGCATGACGTTGTGCTATTGCTAGCAATAAAGACCACTTCAGAAGATATTCATTGAGTGAAATGAATTTGTGGCTTGTATCTACACTTAACAGAAACAATTATATACTATTCACACAAGTCACTCTTTTACACAAATCTATATTTACATAAAGAGCAACAGATAGGGTGTATATATAATGATCAGTAAAAGGTGTATGGCCTACACATAAAGCTACGAACCTCCAGGTGGTGGCTGGAGATCTCCTGGGATTACAACTGATATCCAGGCTACAGAGATCAGTTCACCTGGAGAAAATGGCCACTTGAAAAAGTGGACTCTATGGCATTATACCCCACTGCCTCCTCCCCAAAACCCTGTCCTCCTCAGCCTGCACCCCCAAAATCTCTACGTATTTCCCAGCTCAAAGCTGGCAACCCTACCTACACAGCTTCTTGAACTGGATGGAATGTTTTAATGCTGGGGTCTATGCATGCATGTCTACATTGTAAGCACTGTGGAAATCACCTATATAATCTCTCAGTTCAATATAGCACCAAATACATATGGAGCTACCATATTCAGAGAGAAGTGGTCCACATAGTTCAATATTGTCGACTTTAAATGTTTTAAATGCAAGGTATGTGCTACATCTCTGAGCTATAGCACCTCCCCTGGAGGACAAGAACAGGTGATCTTCTAAGCTGTAAGCTACACTGCCATCCAGCCAAACCTTTAAATAGAATATCCATCCATCATTTATTCATTTATCCATCTATCATCTTCTTTGTCTTCAGGCCATACCAGGTACTGCTTTGAAAACCAGAAACAATAGAGAAAAGTAACAACAACAAAAAAGGAAAGAGTCCAGTAACACCTTAAAGTCTAACAAAATTTGTGAAAGGGTATGAGCTTTCGTGAGTCACTGTATACTTTTTCAGATACAGCTAGAATGTGAGTCCATCTATATACTGGAAAGAGGAGTGATTTCATATGCCAAATGATATTAGCAGGCAAATGACAACAGAAGGTGTGTATGCAGAGAGGTAGTAGGAGTGGAGTAATCAGCATTGGTAATGAAAAGGGAAGCCTAGGTCTCAATTCAGTCCAGGTGGATGCATTGTCTTGAGCTTCATTATCAGTTGCAATTCAGCAGTCTCTCCTTCTACTCTCCCTTTGAAATTCCTTTGTAAGATGACTGCTAGGTGCAGTTCTAGCTGTATCTGGAGAAGTGAGCAGTGACTCATGAAAGTTCATACTCTACCACAAATTTTGTTAGTCTTCAAGGTGCTACTGGATTCTTACTCTTTTCTACTGCGCCCCCCCCAGTAGAATATTTCACTTGCTCCAGCACTAGATTCAAACTGGTGCAGAGATGTCCAAAGTAGATTCAAATGTGCGTCTAAAAGACTGAGCGAGCTGAAATGGATCAGTTAATCCAGTGACAGCCAACTTTAAAGCCTTCATGAAGCACCCAAACCTTTACGACGTACACTGAAGAAAAGCTAGTTGTGTAAATAGTGGGCGCTTCATCCACATGGAAAATCAGTAGGGGTAAGTAGTGGGAGTACTGAACTAGGCAATCAAGGTCTGAATTCCCATCCTTCTTTGAAACCTTCTGTGGGTTATCTCAGGCCAGTGTCACTGTCACTCAATTCAACCTATATCACGGGGCTGTTGTTGCGAGGATAAAATGGAGGAGGGGAGAAGGAGCTGAGTCAGTACTGGGGAGGAAAGCAGGGTATAAATACATAAATATTGATAATATAAATAAATAAAAAATAAATGGAACCTGTACTCCTCTACTGTCTGGATGCCCAGTGTTTCTTCAGAAAAGCTAATCTCCAAAGATGTAGATTCTCTACAGCTGGCAGGACTAGATGAACTTATCAGACCTTATCAGACCTACTAGATCCCTTACCAGACCTACTGTTCCCATGATTCTAATGGGCCAGTCCATTAGGTAATTGTGGAATGCTGAGAGTAATTAATTGACTTAAGGATACATCAATCTCCAATTCTGACATATTTATTTCCTTCATTTAGCCCCCCCAGAATCGAACCCAGACAAATGGTAACCATATAAATTAAGCTTATTATCCATGTTTGAGCCTTGAATCTGTTAAATATCTTCATTGTGCTGTGTGATAATTTACTGCTCACCCTCTACCTATATGTACAGACTGGTAATTTCCATCTTTGTTTCTGTCTCTGTCTTGACCCTAATTGTCCCTTCCTGGCAACTAACTGCTCCCCCTCTTTCTATATGTAATGGTTGAGGAAATTCTATTTCACTGCAGGGGTCATTTCGTAGAAAAAAAGCTAGGGGACTCATTAGCATAACTCATTAGCATATGCCACACCCCCTGACATCACCGGAAGTGTGTCCTCCCCATAGCCGGCGGCGACCTCCAGTGGGCACCAGCAGGGAGCTCCAGGCCCCGCCCTCCCGCACCTCACCCGGGGGGATGGCGTCCCCCCGCGTCCCCCCCAAATGACCCCTGTTTCACTGTATCTGAAGAAGTGTGCTTGCACATGAAAGCTTATACCGTGAATAAACCTTTGTTGGTCTGAAAGGCGCCAGTGGACTCAAACTTTGTTCTGCTGCTTCAGACCAACATGGCTGCCCCACCTGGATCTATCCTGATGGACTGAGTTACCTACAACTATTAAGAATGCCAGACGCCTGTATCAAAGGAGGACTTACAAAGAAAATGTCCTTAAGAAGACATTTCGATTCAGGATGGTCTTCTTCAGGATATGCTGCATATGCCGTGTAACAATGAAAGACCTGCACAGTCTTTACCTGATAATCTTTAAATGATACCTTTGAAGCGTTGGCAAATGTTCAAGGTATCAACTTAGAGCCAGGTCTTGCCTGAGGATTTTACCCACAATATTGAAATATTAAATTGCTGGGGAAACAAATACTGCTGAGAGTTACTTGTCTGTATACACTGAGGGATAATGAAAACCACAGACGTACACAGTAGTGCATTACAATGAAAGCAATGGGCCTTATGTTCAAGCAAATCCCTGAGAGCCAAACAGCATACTTTAGGTGAGTGTGCTCAGTGAAACTGATTATTTTTTTTTAAACAACCGACCTCCATGCCATACCACAGTGGACTGCAAACAATGCTCTGGAGAACACTAGATTTCCTTTCAAGGTCATCAGGATTTCTACAGGGAGACCATGAATGGTAGGCACGACTGCTTTCCCACAAGTACAGATCTTCCACAGAAATGTGTGGCTACAGGGGCAATCTGGGCAAAGTTCTGAAGTCCCAAGAAAGCTCAGAAGGCATGGATAGGGCTCACATGAACCAATAGTGCATTTTATGTATCTATTTATTTATTTATCCCGCCCTACCCGTCGGGGCAGGCTCAGGGCGGCTTACATAATACTAGAGCAGAGATAAAACAGATAATTAGATAAAATCACAATAAATATAAATTTAAAAGACAATACACAAAGTGCTAGTGCAGGTTATTTATTTATTTTATAGGGCTGCCAAGTCCCCCCGGGGGGCGGAAATCCCCCCGCCCCAGAGGCCCGTTCCCCGACGCCGTGGAATCGGGCCCCGGGGGAACCCCGCCCCAGTGTGCACGTCACAGGGAAGTGACGTTATGACGCCGGGCACGCTGGGGGCGGGGCCACGGCCATACAAGGGAAAACTCTATGGTTTCCCTGTGACATGCATGTGGCGCGCCGGCAAGGTAAGTCGGGACTTGGCAACCCTATTATTTTATTATTTATTTATTATTACATTTCTACCCCGCCCTCCCCGCAAGGTTAGGTAACGATAACATACCCTGAATTGTTGTAAAACAATAGCCATTATTTCCCTTCTGTTCTCAGTTCTTTGGTTTTAATCCCATGCTTTGTAAACCATGGAATTTTCTGAACACCATAAAACAGTATAAGAATTTGCAATCAGATAACCATTGTATGACATAAAATATCAAAAGGTCAGGTTTAGTTCTCAATAAATGGAAAAGTAAAATTCTCATAGCTTTCCATTTTAAACAAGTTCCTTACTCCTCAACTCTTTTTTAAACTTATTCATAAAGAACATTTCAAGTGTACAATGCAATGTTAAGTTAAAGCACCGGTTTTCTCATTTGTATTTCCATTGTAGCTATATTTTTAATTTCTATTTTTAAAAAAGGTTTTCCTCTAAGCACCACATTTGTGGCATTTTCTGTCCAAAACTGGAAGAAGAAAATGTAGGTTTACCAAGTATACGATATTTATCTACTAAGACTCAAGGTGGATTACAAAATTAAAAACAACCCAATAGCATCGCATAAAATAACCAACAAATAAAGCAATAGGACTAGGAGTATAGGATTAGGACACAATGAGAAAATTATAGATTACAGAACATAAGGAAAACTAGGAGGAATACAAAGTTAGAAAATGATGTTAACAGCAAATTGCCTAAGGTCAGGGGTCATTTCCTGCAGGAGCGCACAGGAGCGGAGCTCCGGCAGTAAAGAGCCCAGGGGGCGGACACATGCAACAAGCCCCTGTAACCATGTGTGTTTGCAATTGCATTTGTCTGTACTGTGCTAAATGCTGTGTC